AAAAACAAAACAAAACAAAAAAAAACTCTGATCCAAGAATCATTGGGAGTAAAACAGAGGAAGGGGGATAGGGAGAAGGACAAGCTAGGTGGGGCACTGTTTCTCTGCACTTTTCACAAAAGCATCTTTACTGTTACCCCCAGTAAGACATCTAGAGGAAAAGGTGATGAACTTACGTATGTTTGAAAGTCACTAATTTGGTCCATTTTCCAGAAAACAAAAATGGAAAGAGCTAACATTTATTAAGACCTTACTCCTCACCACCATTACCTAAATTTATTCCTTTCAACATCCCTTAAGTTATTATCATTTTCTTTATTTCACACATGAGAAAAACTCAAGCATGAGGTTTAATGCTGTTTGGTCAATTATATTATTTCTGAGGTTGGGAAGATGAGAATCTTAAGCCAAAGGGTTGACTAATTTTCTACAGAAAAAAAATGATGGTGGCTAAATTATTTTATATTATATTCACTTTCATTTTTAGAGAAGCAACTTGTAATGGAGCCCTCCCCTCTTGAGTTACCAGCTGACACAGTACAACGCATTGCATCAGAACTTCGATGTCACCCGACAGATGAGAGGGTCGCCCTCCGCCTTGATGAGGAAGATGAGCTGAGGCACTTCAAGGAGCATTTTCATATCCCCAAAATGCAGGATCTACCTGTAGGTAAGAACACTGAAAAGGATTTTATTTTTCTTAATTAATTTATTAATTTATTTTTGCTACTACATGTGTTTATCATAAATCTTTGAAATCATTGTTCTATTATATAATAGAGCTATTGTAATTATGTCTGAAAAACAGCAAGTTCCTGGTGCTACTAAATCAACCCGTCAGCCTACCTAAGCCTCAGATTCTTTATGTTCCTTTTCTTCTTCTACATAAAATACTTAACAGGGTTTTTATACTGTCATCTACTTCTCTGAACAATGGAGTGACTGACTGAAAATTATAGGCAGACGCATTTACTTGTTCTCTAAGCACTTAGAGCACAAAACAATTTCTTTTCAAAACAGTATTAGAATATCTCTTATTTTGTGGCACCTAGTTTATGATAACATGATATTTGTCTTAGAGGAAATATTATTTTGGGATTTGAGTATATTAAGAAGGTATTATGTGAATAACCATCTTTGTGTGCTGTAAACATGGCATGTGTAAGACTTACCAAAATTAAAAAAAAAAAAAGAAAGAAAGAAAAGAAACATTATCAATGACTAAGAAATGCAATACTGCATTTTTTTCTTTTAAATAATATGGTAAGCTGATTCTGCTCTTAGTTTGGGGGATATCCTATTTAAAAAAAAATAGGTAGCACAAATGTAAAAATACGACTTTTTAAAATATTTGACTTTGCTCCATTTTACATCAGTGAAAAAGACTACCAGGTTGAATAGAATTGATCAAAATGATTTTTGGATACTTTATAATACAGTTTGATTTTTAGTTTTCTTTAGATTAAATGAGGCAGATAGAATTTTGGATACTCATAATCCAAAAGCATCAGCTAATATGATTTTAGAATGAGATTGGGTCACATAGCTATCTTATTTGGCTTATATGTTACTATATAACCCAGGAAGGCACCCTGTGAAATTACAGAAGGATAAAATAAGAGAAAGCCCTTTATCCAATTTAAGGTTGCTTAATATCAATTGAGGTAGACATTGATATAAACGACAGCTCTAGGAATAAAATGGGGTAAGTGAAGGGAACTGATATCACAGAAAAAAAATCTAGGTCTTTCTAGAATCTAGAATGAAAGGGCACTTTGATTTAAATCTTAAGGGATACAAAGAATTTTGTGTGTGAAAAATGAGGAAGGTAAGTCTAGGGATATTCTTTCAGTGAGGTGGAGAAGGTTGCCTGGTGACGGTTGGCACACAGGGTGGAAGTCCCCTCAAATCCCCATGACCCACCTGAGACAAATTTCCTCTGGTGACCCAGCCCCCAAGGTGCTCTCCAGCCCATGGGCTGCCTGGGAGATTTGATGGGTTCCTAGGCTGGAGATGACAGCAGAAGCCTGGAGGACCACAGAACTTTAGGTGGCCTTCTGAATGGGCAGCAAGAACTAGAAATCAAGAATTAGGGTTCTAGAACTTTATGACATTTATTGGAAGTTGTAATTTCCTCAAGATTTAAAAAGAATTATTTTATTCCTTTTCATGAGTAATAGGAATAGCAGACATAGCAAAGTAAGCAAACAAAAATACTAACAAAACCTATCCCATGAGGACAGATGATGGTATTACAGAGAGAAGGAAAAACATGGCAGCAGCACTGGTGGGGGAGAAAGTGGCCAGTGGTCTAGTGTGGCTGCCGCATGGGCTGTCTTGGGAAATGAGGCTAAATAATGGCCACATCTAGATGCATATGTGAGCAATGACTACTTCCTGCACCTGAGAAGTAATGCATTAGGGAGTTTTGGTTGCATTGTCTGTCTTACCTATTCTTAAAGTGCCTTTCTTCTATATAATACCATCAGAGATTTGAGGTAGGGCTCAGCCCTGAATTTCAAGACTGTTGAAATGAAGGGGTGCTGGGAAAGTTAAAACCCTATTTGAATGTATCACTTACTGTTACTGAACCTAAGACTCACTGACTAACATGACTTCATCCTCATGCTGAGTCAGTTTTGTTGCAACAAAATATTTACTAGTTACCTTTTCACATTCCTGTCTGTGCCTTGGAACTTGCTTTCTACCCATCTCTTCCAGCACAGTGAATTTGAAACACAATGAGCAAAACTCACTGTTTGTCCTGGGAGGCATTGTGGTCTGAGATTGCTGTGAGGGCCTGCTTTAACTCTATCTAGCTGGGTGAGTTTGAGAAGCAAGTAGCCTCTCAGAGCCCATCTATATTCCTCCAAGTGGAAAAAACAAACACTGCTCCAAAATGTAGAGGGACTTTCTTAGCATGAAAATGAGATCATGTTAAGTGAGCCTAAGACAGGGCCAGAATGTTAGTTTCCTTGCCCCCTTTAATACAGACTTTTAACTTCAATAGAGATTTTTAATATTGGCTCAATATAGGACTCTTCTACTAAGCTTGGAGATAATTTAATCAGAACCCAGGTAAAGATAGCATTATATATATAATCACTTCATTAGACTGAAGAGTTGATTCTACTACCCTGATTATGGTTATAGTATTTAATTAGATATTCAATAGGAAATAACATAAAAATTACAATCTAGGATACATTCCTGATTCTTAAAGAAATGTAAAGAGAAGGAAAATGAATTGATTCAATAAGGAATCTAACAGTTTATTTGTTCAAAAAATACAGTTTTGAATGATACAAAAATTGACTTCATTTTCCCCAATCATTAACCCCAAGAGTTCTTCTAAATTCATTACTGTCAAAGTCTGTGGGTTCCTGACCAGTCCAAAGAGGATCACCAGGGAATTTACTAGAATGTGCAAGTTCTTGGGTCCCAAACCAGAATTATTAAATCAGAAACTCTGAGGGGACTCCACTTATCTGTTCTAGATCACTTAGGATGGTGCCACAGAGAGATGAATCTGTTAATTCTTATTCCCACTATACTCCCTCTAGATGCTTCTTACTTGCTAAGGGTTCATTCTTCCAAGAAATATTTATTAAGCACTTACTCTGTTCAAGACACTATTCTCAGAACAGTTTACCAGTGAACTAAAGAGCAAAGTTGTCACATCCCTGAGTTTTTATTCTAGTATAAGGAGATAGAAAATAAACAAACTTAGAAACAGTGTGATAAATACTCCATTCTCAGGTGGTACTCTTAAGTGTTGTGGACTGCCAGGGTGAGTAGCGTTCTTTTACCAAGGGCCATCTGGGAAGGAAATCCTGATGAGATGACACCTGAGCAGAGAAAAGAATGAAGTGAAGAAGTGAGCTTCATGATTACAGAGGTGTAGGTGAGCCTGGGGGACAAGGTTCACTAGGCTCAGACGCAGATAGTGTGCAAGTTTCCTCCCCCCCACTTTTTTTTTTTGACAAATAAGAATCCTTCAAAAAACTAGTACTTCCCCTCTTAAAACCTTCCAAGAACATCTAAAAATGATATTGCCTCTCAAATTAATTTAAGAGACTATCATAACACTGAGAACAAATGTTCTTTAGTAACCCTGAATAATGAAAAACAAAGCATAAATAAACAAGTTTTGAACAAATGAAAGGATCATGACTCCCAGTATAGGCTTAAAAAATTTCAAGGAAAGGCTGTAGGCACAGCTTGTGGGATTCTGGTATTCTGCCATTAAATATAATGTTTGCTCAGGATTTCTAAGAGAAAGTTTTATCAAAATAAGTTTTTTCTACTCTTTGACGGTTTTTGAGATGTTGCTAGAGAAAAGGGTCAAAATTATTTTTACTCAGGTGGTATTGCACTTATGTTCAACATTATTCTAAAGACCATACCCCCAAAATAACACACACACAAACCATGCATACTTGGCATGCACAAAGAAAAAGGAAGGAAGAAAGGAAGGAACATGCAAGACGTAAATATTGGAAAAGACCTGTCTACATTTCTTGAAATTATTCCTGTTTGGAATATCCTTGTTCCTAAATGTCTGAGAAGATAGTGGATAGTTCCATAAGATATATTGGTTTGGCAGACATACAAGACAAAGTGTTTTTTGTTGTTGTTGTTGTTTTTGTTTTTATTTTTATTTTTATTTATTTTATTTTTTTCTTACTAACATATAATGTATTATTTGTTTCAGGGGTATAGGTCTGTGATTCATCAGTCTTATCCCCAGTGCTCATTACAACACATACCCTCCCCAAAGTCCATCACCCAGTTACCCCATCCCCCCACACCCCTCCACTCCAGCAACCCTTAGTTTGTTTCTTAAGATTAAGAGTCTCTTATGGTTTGTCTCCTTGTTTGCCTTGTTTCATTTTTTCCTCTCTTCCCCTATGATCCTCTGCCTTCTTTATGACCTACCTATCAAAGTACCAAATTGCCTTCCATTTATATTTATATTTCTTCCAGAAATAAACAAGTGTCTCACTGACATCTTTGCTCATTTGACAATCAAAAAATTTTTCTTTCCTTGTTTGAAATTTGTTTTTATAAGCTCGTGGCCATTTGCTTTTCTTAAAAAGTTTTAATTTTCTCTTAATATGTAAAATGTATTGTTTCTATGTATTTTATTTTTTAATTGATTTTAATTTTTTAAGTCTTAGGTATATCACCAACTTGTTCCCTCTAAGGAATTTTAAGTGAGTCTGCTCAGTTCATGTAGCTGGATGATATAACCAGAAATGGATTCCAAATTTTGTGACTCCTGCAATGTTATTACTTTTTTAAAAAGTTATCCTAGCAGTGCCTGGCTGTCTCAGTCGGTAGAACATGTGACTCTTGATCTTGGGGTCTTGAGCTCAAGCCTCACGTTGGGCATAGAGCTTACTTTAAAAAAAAAAAATTACTCTATTGCATTGTGATTTACCATACCATAGAATCCACTTTGCTTTATGCTCTACAAGATGACTCCAGGACTATTTATCTTGTAACTGAGAGTTTGTACCTTTTGTCTGCTTTCACCTCTTTTGCCTACTTCCTACCTGGCACCTTAGGCAACCACCACCAATCTGTTCTCTGTGTCTATGAGTTCAGTTTATTCATTCATTCATTCATCCATTTATTTGATTCCACATATAAGTGGTATCATACAGT